CCGCGTCAAAGAAGACCCGCACAGCTGCGCGGCACTGCTCATCGCCACAAAAGAGGTGTTGGTGGAGCAGTTGTTTGGCTTTGCACCTGGAGCAATGCGGCAGACTGACCCTAACTGCTTCTGTGGGGTCGTATTCGAGGTAGTCGTCAAGGTTGAACAGAGCGGGCGATTGGCGCTACACTTGCATGGAGTCGCACACCTCGAGTGCTTCGCACTGGACAACCTTCAGGCGTTATTCTGTGGACCCAACTGCCGAGCTCTGGCGCTTGCATACGCGCTGTGCGAAATGTGGTACCCCTCCCCATACTATGCTCCGACACCGGACAGCGGGACACAGCCTCTGGTCATGGGTATGTCTGATGCGGAAGCGCAGCAGCACGGTCTACCCGTGCCAGCAGTGCAGGCGGACTGCCCACCTGCAGCATACAACTTCGAACGACTGGCGGGGTGTGCAAACGGCGGACTGCCACCTCCATCGCGACATACCGCCTGCCGTGCCCATCACGCTGCCGTCATACGCAGTACCCTCACCCACAGCCACAGTTCGACGTGCAAGCGGCATGGCTGCCGCGGTACCGATGACAGCTGCGGCATGGCCTTTCCCCGACTCATCCGCACAGCCTTTCAATGGATCGGTACCACCGGCCTATTCTTGCTGCCCCGCCTGGCACCCAACCTCGTGCCACACATGCCTGCCATTGCCCTCGCCTTCGGCTGCAATCATTTGATGTCCCTGGCCTGCGAAGTCGACCGGGAGTACACAGCTGACATCGCTGCCCAACTAGCGCGTCCTCCCAACGAACACGATGACTGCTCCCTCCTACAGCCCGCCATCGACCGCGCCCGTGACGCCGCGTACTACAGCTCTAAGTACACTGCAAAGACGATTGAACGCAGCCAGGTGCACCTCACATGTGCCGCCGTGGGCCGTGTACAGGACTTCATGATGGCAGGTCACCGACCCAGCGCCACCGGTGATGGACCCAGCACGTTCGGCAACCTGTGTACCGTGGTGCACCGCATGACGGCCACTATCACGGCTGGCATGGCACTGGTCGCCTTCAAACTGTCAGGCCACGATACGTTCCAAGCAACCTACAAACGCAACTACCTACCGATAGGTGCCTTCACTGCACTGGCGTCCGAATCCGCCGTAGAACCAGAAGACGCGGAAACTGGTGTGGAGCTTGTAGAGGCGGACGAGCATGGCGACTACACCCTCACCAGCGTCGTACAGAACTACACGCAGCGTGGAGTGGAGCTGAGCGGCTTGGACTGCAGCGCCTACAGCATCGCATCCAACTTCGAGGTGAAACGTATAACGCCCGCGCAGCACCCCCATGCTGCCATCCTCAGTGCCCAAGTCCTCCCTGTACCTGGCCGCCGCAAGCGCAAAGCCCCTGGCGCCGCTATGACCCCTACTACTGACGCACCTCCCACCCCATCTGGCACCCAGCCCACCGCCGCTATGGCGTCCCCTGCGCCAGCTGGCCCATCTGCAGAACAGCTGCCCACGAGCCCGATGTCGACCATACCTCCCAAGAATGTGGCCTTCCAACCAACGCACCCGCTGTATCTGACACACGTTCTTCATCGCCTGGCGCAGCCGAGGTACGTTCTGCTGGGCGGTGCGCTGCCCCGCCGCCCGCAAGAAGGCAGCACCACCGCAGCCGCCGTCGCCTACTACGCATTTGTCTTAGGCATCTTCAAGGCTCACCGCGGCCAACCGGTGGCTGCCGATCAGACGGTGAAAGAGGCGTACGATGCATGGTGGATGGACCTGGGATCCACCGAGGCAGGCCGATCGTACAGAGCCTGTGTAAGTGTCCTGCTAGACAACATCGAAGCAGAGCACCTCGCCAGCGCCCGGCGCCAGGCCGACTACAACTTGCGACGCCGCCAGCGCCGCGCCACTGCTGCAACTGCCGGTCTGGCCCCGGACAACAGTTCCAGCGACCCGGATGATGACGACCCGGAAGCTGCACGAGGCCGCCTCGAACCCGACCCCGCCACACAGCCGCCGCAAGATGATCAGGTCGAACGGTACGACTTTGTACCAGGCCAAGGCGACCCGACGCTAGGAATCAACCTGTCCGATGTCGCCCTGACGGACCTGTATGACCGCACCACAGTGGAGGGCCTGTACACATACGGTGCAGCTCGGCGTTGCCGTGTACTTCCTCTTCCCAATGCCCTCGGTGCCAACACCAACCCCTTCATCCGCCGTGTACGCACCACTGACATCCCGCTGCTGAGCGAGGCTTCCAAGCGCCTGAAGCGCTACCTAGTCATCTCCGAAGGCACCGCCACCATGCCGACCACGACGGACCACACCCCCCATCTTCGTTTGGATCGCCACCCCGGCTACCCCCTCGTAGCGGTCATCGTGACCGACACCCAGCAAACCAACCATATCACAGCGGGAATGCCAACTTACCTACGTCTACCACAGCCACCGAGCATCGACGACACCATCGAGCTCTTTACCCTGGCGCCGGATCAGGCCGTACCATTC